AACGGTCAGACATGCAAACAAATATATCACGAACGAAATATCGGAAGCGTTTATATTTTCGTCATTGTTTCGTTGAAAAATCGTTCGATTTACCATCTCTTTAAAGATTGTTTTGATCTATTTTAAATCGCTGTTTCGTCCCATATTTCTACGGTGATTGAACGTGTCGCATTCTTATTGCGTATACTGTATCATACGCCGTGAAATAATCATCCAACATAAAGTTTTAATTTTCTTGATGCCAATGGAAATTACGTTAATTGTCATGACCTAATTACGGATCAAACGGTGCTACTCGCAACGAATAGTAAATGCAGTTTAGAGCGTTTATTTCGATGTTGCTTGTTTAAATTCGTATTGTCATTTAACGAAAATGAAGAAAAAGGAAGTATTTAAAAATGAGTTGTCTGCCGACCTATGTCGCGATGTAAAAGCAATTCTGTATAGATAACGCAAGTATGGAATAATGTACATAAAGAAATATTTAATAAACCTTATATGTAAAAATTCTGGTTGTTTCGGACAATTTTTACTACTAAAGAAAAAGAAATTAGAATTATTTTTCGAATTTCAAACAAAATTGACTGTTTCGAAATATCTTAAATTTCTCTACATAGAAAAATATTCTAAAATGAAGACTGATATAAATATTTGTATTATATTTGTTGAGTTAGAAATCTTACACTTAAATTCATGGATCTGGACCTGAAAAATAATAAAACATACACATCATTTTGTGTTACAATACAAATTGTTTTATATATCTGACATCAGATATTCACCCTACATGATAGTAATTAGGAGTATTGGCATACATATTTAATTGTTCGAGGAATTCAAGAGAAATTATAAGAAATGGCACATAGATAGCCATCTGTCAATATAAAGTTGAAATACTAGGCAAATGGTTTGTTTAGCAAAAAAATATCAGTGTATGGTATAGTCAAATGTAATTCTTAAGATAATTTTTACTATAAACTATAAATTAATTAATGCTCATTAATGAATGCCTATAGAATACGTGAAATAAAAGTTATTTATATTCCTTATTTTCGATACAAAGTTCCATCATTTTGCCGCAACGTGGCGCTAATGTTTCTAACCTCATAAAACAAATTTTTATTCGCAAAAAATCTTCTTAATTTAGAGAATTGAATTTTAAACTTTTGCAATTGGAACAGGAATATTTATTTTCAAAATTAATTAGTACTAAAAACCTACCGACAGATGGTACCGAGAGCTCATTACCTGTAGATACGATGATCGATAAATGATAAAGTCACTGTATTACAAAGGAAATTTTATACTTTATTTTACATAATACAGAATATAATGGATGAATGACGACTGTTTATTAATTTCTTAACAACTGTTATATATGTTCTTGGCAATTTGTTTGTAACTTGATAACCAACAATTTGTTGATATTTCCGTGGTAACTTTTGATAAAACAATTGAATAGCAATAGATGTCGCTACATACCAATTGGCGCGAGAGCTCCTTGCCACTTCTTCCGTTACAAAACTTTCGTTACGTGAACATCGATCAACATTTAGAAGTGAAAATTTTTAAATAATATTTCTAAATATTTTAATTACTTAAACATTATCCAATATTTCTAATAACTTATTTGTAACAATTAAGTAATGATTATTTCCCTTCTATAACATTGCCAAGTACTATTTAAAATGTGTAGCAATTAATCGTTAATAGCAATCATGATACTAATAGATTTTTTAGAAATTTCAATCGCGTTATATCTCTATGAAATTTTAATGTTCCGCATTATTAACAACCGAAGAGGTAATCTCGACTGATGCAGAGGATTTTAGTATAAATTTTCAGCGAGAAAATTTCGAAAACCAGGAGAAATTTCCCGCTGAAAATTTGAATTTCGTATCAGGAGCACATGAGTTTCGAAGAGGTGGCACGACAAAGCCTCCCCATCGGATGGTTCTTCTGATACATAGTGTTTTCGAAAATTCTTTAAGCTATCTTAGAAATTAGAAGGTACTTTCGATAGAAATTCGTATTTTTTATCAATAATTTACTTATTAAGTAGTTATTCCTTGAAGGCAGTTTACTGAATCAAATGAATGAATTTTGTATTATGTAAACTGGACTTGCGTAGTTCGTAGCTTGATATCGTTTTCCAAAGTTCAATGTTTGGGAAACCATATCATTTACCAGGTCTTATAAGAAGGTGACTACTCTCGTGACCCTAATCCCATCCATCCTGTTACATTCATGTCTGGATATTCAATTTGAAGAATGCCGAGTTCTTGTTTTACTTGGCTTAGAGTAACATAAAAAAGAGACGTTCCATAGTTCTAGCTCAAACTTAAATCTGAAGCTTATCTCTAAATCGCAAAGCTGAGCTTGAATTATGGAACTTTATTTCCCAAACGATCGCATTAACAATAAATTCATCTACACTCATACAATAATTATATAGTACATACAATTGCACTAAATCATATAATAAATCACAATAACTCGCATCTTCTCACACTAAAGATATAAGTGTAACGATGTTATACAAGAATTGTATAGCAATAGCAGGACACGAAAATGGTAAGTGATCTCCAAAACATGGGACACGAAAAACCATTGAATATTAGATCTATCCTAGTTAGTTAATGGTTTCATGTTTGATCTGCTCTATCTCTTTAGTCAATGATTATATTCCATATGGATATAAAGCATTTATAGTTCTCTTATTTCGCCACGAGGTGGCACTAGTATTTTTGGCGTAAAATAAATAACTTTTCATTTACACAAAAAATTAACTTAGAGAATACACACTAAAATAATACATTTTTAATCATTAGATTTAATCATTTTTAATCATTAGAAGTATTTTAGAAAATTGCAAAAAAGATTGTTTTATAATTTTTTTGAAAGTAAAAATATTGACTAAGCTCAGACATAAAATTGCAATAGGCATAAGATCTGTCTAGTACAACGTCTATGCCTATCCAATTACTTAATTTTAAATTTGATGTTAGAACCTTTAATTTCGTTCAACTGTCAAAAATCTGTAACATTTCTTAATATCGTAATCCTGCGAAGATATAATGTTATTTTTATTTATACATGGTCCAAAATATTCATCAAGTTTTGTAATTAGACTTGAAAAATTTGCGACCTGCATGTTGTAAATAATCCTTAAGGACAGTATCTTAATGTGTACGTTTTTAAATTTAACTTAAAATGAGTAAAAATGTTATTAAGTGTATTTCATTTTATTATCTACTTGCAAACATCGATACATTCAACCGATCTTAAAACTGTATTATACAGAATCAAAAGAAGTTCAATTAACATTGCGCCAATATTGAAAAGTAAAGATCTCGAAGTTGCGTGACAAACAATTAAACTGTTCCAAAAGTTTGTACTGAATAATTATTAAAATTCAAGGTTGCAATTGATTTTTCGTGTGTTTCTTAAAATCTACGCCGAATTAAGGCGAGCGATTTTTAAATTTCCGTCGTTGCAAAATATATATACTATATCGCTAGCAAGTTTCGGTAACTCTCGAAACACCGGAAATGTTCTTTGGTTCGTTTGCCGCCAAAGCAAGCAGTGTGCTGGGATGAAATTGTTTATACTTTCGTTCGCGATCCTTCGTCTCTCAAGGGATTGAATCATCCAGTGCAGTGTAAAGAAGAAAATCTGATAAACGGATTAATCAAATTTGTGCGTGTTTTCGGTGAAATTTCGTTCGTTGAACAAAATCAGCAATGGCCAAAGTTCAGTTAGCAAATGTAGCTGTTCTCGATAATCCTTCGCCGTTTCTAAATCCATTTCAATTTGAAGTTACGTTCGAATGCATCGAGGAATTAAAAGAAGGTAGCTGTTCGATATTTTTCACCTTTTGTTAAATACATTCACGCAAATTGTTTTCGATGTTACACAAAATGAATCAGATATCCGCGTGTAATTTGGTGCTTGCTTTAGGTTAGTTTCAATGATTTAACACCAAGTTGTCCAAGGACGAACCAGTCGAAATTTTTTTCAATGACCTTTTATCAAAATAATATTGATATATTTCAATTTTAATATATTCCCTTTCGAAGTTCGTACTGAATGATCTACTTCCAAGCAAGCGATATAATGATAATGATAATGATGTTACAGATTTGGAATGGAAAATGATATATGTTGGCAGTGCCGAATCTGAAGAATTTGATCAGGTTTTAGACACAATTTATGTTGGACCCATCCCCGAAGGAAGGCATATGTTTATTTTTCAGGTACGTAACATAAATTAGTTATTTAGCTATATAGTTATTTAACTAAGTAATAGTTCTAAATTTCTGTTAAAAATCTTCTGTTAAGGTAATGTCTTTCTACTTGTATTTAATTCCTATTATTTATTTTAGGCTGATCCTCCAGATGTCAGCAGGATTCCAGTAAATGATGCTTTAGGAGTCACAGTTGTTTTATTAACTTGTTCGTATAGAGGACATGAATTTGTGCGCGTTGGTTATTTTATAAATAATGAATATACAGATGCAGAACTTAGAGAAAATCCACCACCACAGCCTCAGTTTGACAAAGTACAAAGAAATATCTTGGGGGATAAACCACGTGTCACTAGATTCAAAATAAACTGGGATGATGGAGCAAGTTCGGCAACAAATAACATACCAGAAGGCATGGATGCGCAATCATTAGAAGAAACATCGCAGGATGCGCCAACATCCACATTGGGTTTTACAGAAAATACACACAATAGCATGGAAGTGATGTGAATGTTAACTGCCAATAATATATAAGCTAGCAGAGACCATAATATGATGATTGAAGTAGTACCTGGAAAGAAGATTCAAACAATTCATATATTTGGATACCTCAAAGAAAAAACATTATAAGAAAATGGTACCCTTTTATGTAATACATACTAATTGGCTTCCCTTTATTAAAAAAGTTTATATGCTGAAAGAAAGTTACATCATAGCAATATAATTGTTTCAACCTTGTATAAAAATAAAATTGTTTACTATTAGATACCTACTATAATTGTTTGATTTGGAAAACAATTAGGAATTACTTAGTATGTAATATCAAAAACATCAATCATAAAAAAGTGAATTCACGGTAGAGATTGTAAATGATAAATTTACTAAGAAAAACATCGTATTGAAATAACAGCAGAATATAAAAAAAGAATGTGCTTCAGACTAATAGTTTTTAACGTCGTGATTGTTAATACAATGAAGAAGTACTCTGGAACTGTTTAAACGTTAATTCTTGATAACTGTGTATTGTATGATGATATTCTAGAAATGTTTCTAATTTTTGTGTTTAATATTTTAAGTATTATATTATGGCTTATTATATCATAAATTAATAGAAATAAGGCTGTCCCAATTTTATCAGTGTATGTACATATATACTAAAATGAGAATACATATTATGTTTTTTACTTCATTATACATTGTTTTTAAATATTTTACCTTCATTAATTACTGTAATATAAAAATTTGTAGGAATAGAATAACTTTAATTGTGACATAAATATATATTAGATATTTAATAATGAAAAATCATTATATGAATAATTCAGTTTTTCGCACATTTAAATCTCTTTTGAGTTTTAATTTTCAATAATTAATAGATTTAAATTTATGTAACAAATTATAATTAATACAAACTTAATATTTTCAATTTTTTTTAATTCAAAATTATAGTACAAAAGTTGCTTTTTGACTTAAAAACAAGAATATTATATGTTGTAATATTACAATATAGATAACAATACTATTATCAGTAATCCCCTCTCTTATACTTAAGCTGTTTCAAAAGTAAAATTGATTAGTTTCTTTACATCAATTAGTAATAATCTCGAATCATTAATAAATTATCAACAATTTAATTGTCAAGAAACATTAATTAAAAACTTTAAATAATTTGCAATGGAACTGCTTTATTCAGGGGCTTTAACAATGTTTTTTTTTAATAAATATTTATGAAAATATTAGTTATGTGATCTAGTTTTCCGAACTGTATAAAGTGAAATTACCGAATATTATGTGTGAGATAATGTCAATGACAAGTGATACGTCACTTGTATTTCAAAATTTCAAGAGAACAAATCACATTCTGTTTTTTGAATGGTAACTATTTGAATAATACAGAGTGATTTGTTTCCATTAATAGTGCAATGTATTTTTATAAATTTAATATTTACAGTATGCTTCAAATTTTGTAAATGTATGAAATTATATCATTTAAAACATAGCAATTCGATAACTATATCTTTGCACGTAAATTGCAATCGATAATTCTGTTGAAAATACAGTCAAACGAACTGATAATACGTAGTACGAAACAATTTTATTTCGCACAATTCACCAAGCAGAATTTATTTTGAAAATATAAATATTAATTTAACGTAACGTTAAATAAATATAAGCATCTTTATACTGTTTGTAATATAAAATAATAAAATACTCAAATTTATCTTTTTTTCAATTGATTTCATTCGCAGTTATTCACAGACAATTTCGAACTGCGCACAATTGGTTCGCTCCCCTAGCTACGCATTAAATAGAAAGTGTTTCATTGTTGTCAAAAGCAGGGGATCGGTATAATATTACTACACTACTGTTGACGTCACCCCCACCACCTGTTTCGTCGCAAGCAGGTTCGAACACGTTCAGTATACGCCGGTTTTGCCGACGAACAGCGTCAGAACGCAGGTGGATTCTAAACAAAGTGCAAGTGCTTTACGTGCGAAATCGTGCGCACGAATGAATCTGTCAACAGTCTACGGAAGAATTTTACTCATATACGAGTACTTCACCAGAAGTAATTCATCTTTTCAACCTTTGTACGTCCATATCATATTTTCCAATGGTAAGTAAAAAGGATGTTCATTTACGCACCACGTATCGAGATGTTAAAATTTGTAATTTATCCTCCAAAAGTCACAGCCTCCAAATACACGTAAGAGAATCGAATAATTTGAATTAATAGGTTATAACATGTTCACTTCTGGTATAATACTACGCATGAAGTTTTGACACTGATACACACACACA